AGATTTTTTAAAGTTTTTATAGAATTTTTTAATATTCAATCACTACCAAATATAAATAAATGTGTTAATAGATACATTGAAAGAAAAATAAAATTTTATAAATTCCCGTTTGATTTTTTTTAAAGGAAATTATTTTAATTTTAATTTCAAAATTAATTTGATAGAAATTCTTTATTTTCATTTTTTTGAAATTTTAAAGATTTTTTAAAAGTTTTTATAGAATTTTTTTTTATATTCAACCAGTACTTAATATAAATAAATGTGTTAGTAGATACATTGAATGTGTCATTAGTCCAGTGGTAAACTACCTTGCCATTTGATCTGATCAACTTGTGTTCGAATCCAGGGGTCTACGTCTTTTATTTTCAAATCGCTTAAAACGACGTCGTTTCATCTCAATTGAAAACAACGTCGTTTTATCCTAACGTCAACAATTAACGTCCGAATTAACACCGTCTTAACTACTCGTTAACGATGTGTTAAAATGGCGAGTCAATCGTAAGTTTCTTAATAAACTAATAAAATCAACAAAAGTTCATGTTTCTTTTGGCCAGGCTCGAGTACATATTTCTTTTGGCAATTCGTGCAAAGTTGGTGCTTTTTTTGGCCGAATTCTCATTCTACTTCCCATATTGCTTACACTAAAGAATCTGATGTATCATTTTCAGAAGATGCTTTATTAATTGTAATATAATCTTCCCTCTTTTTTTTTTATACTGAAAATAGCCTTTTGCATCTGCTGTTGTAATGTTGAAGTGCATCACTTTGTGTGGTACGATTAGATTGCTGAACTGAATGACAGCTTGGCCTATATATCAATTTGTAATAGATTTAGCTAATGAAATGTTTTTAGCTTTAGACTAATTTTGAGTTTTGAATAGAGTAAAAAATAAAAAGGTACTTCTATTACTTGAATATGCACATTAAGGTTCCCAAAGTCAATTAGATTTCGACATACACTTATAATCTACGAGGCATTGATACATACATCCAAACCAGTGCATTGACCAAGGTTTTGAACGTGTCTTTGCATATTGCTTCAAATACTTTACTTTGGACTGGCTTTACTGCTCTCAGGATTCCCTTGCTTTTGGTATTAAGGTACGATATTTTTTCTCTTGTTGCTTACTGCCCAAACCTTAGTTCAAGAGTGCTGTTGTGTCTTTTCTTACTCCACTTCTTGAAGGTAAGGAATGGTGCGCAAAAAGTTTATGGATGCCTTTAGTTTTTCACAAGTAGTTCATCATTTAAATCATTATATGTTTGCTATCATCAACCCATTAATAAAATTATTATACATTCCCACAAATCATAGACATTTAGTTTACAAACGATTGCTAGAGAATATAAGATTGTCTAACGACAACACGTCTCCATCCCGCATAGGTAAACAAGAACAAGGTGTGTTAAACATTCGTAGTTTTGTTTTTCATGAACCGATATTTCAAATCTGTAAGCCAATGAGAAAAATGCAAAATCTCATACTTTTGGTCCCCTTCGTATTGTTCATCCTCAATAACATCAATCTCTTATTCTCTCCCGTGAATCTTTGGTTTATATAAGAGAAATTAAGAAGTGTCACAGTTTCACACATTTCTCTTTGTGCTTTATGTAATTAACTCTTTAGGCCCTTCACCTTATTTGTTTGGTTGTTCTTTAAAAAAAAAATTTAGAAACTCTGATCTATTATTCATGGAAAATAGACATAGATTGGATTTGTTTATGGTAGGGGTGGGCACTCTGGTTATTTGGAGTTCCTCTGACTCACTTTTTGACAGAATCAAGATCCTATCATTTTCTTCTTTTCTGAGTGAAATCAAAGCAAGACCATAAAGGGAAGAAGGTTGGTTACCTGCTATACTGGCTCGAACCCGCAGCTTCCGCCTTGACAGGGCGGTGCTCTGACCAATTGAACTACAATCCCATGTAAATCAAGTATCGGTTTGGTTGAGTTCGGTTCGTTTTGGTTAATTCGGTCCTAGAAATTTTCTAACTGAAGTACACCATAATTAGTTTGGTTTGGATCGGTTTCAGTACGGTTTGTATTCGGTTCGGTTTGTATTTGGTTTGGTTTCTGTTGCAGTTCAGTTTAATCTGTTTCCTTAGTTTAGTTCTTTTAAGAGAAATAATGATTTAAAACATAAATGGTGGTGACTATGAAAAAAATAAACTATGTAAACTAAATCTAATACAAAAACTGAAACAAAAACTTTGAAAATATAAAAAGTTTATGAGAACACCATCAAATCAAAGTTAACCGTAAATAGAAAAAAATACTCATTATTAATACCTATTAAGAATAAAGTCTGTCAATTAAATTCAATACAAAACTAAAACAGAAACCTTAGAAACTTAAAAAAAAGAAAAAAATAGAAATAGTTGCAAAAAAAATTATTTTATATTTTTCTTTTAACATTTTTACTGCTGTCAGTAAAACACTAAACCATATATCCCAAACCCTAAATCGTTGGATAAATTATAAATCCTTAGGTAAACCATAAAATCTTGGATAAATCTTAAACACTAAATCAAAAACACTATACACTAAATTTTAAAGACACTAAACCCTTAATCCTAACCCCTATACCCTAAAAATAATTAAAATGTAAAATATTTTTAACGCCGTCAGCAAAATAATAAATCTTAAATACTAAACACGAAATTCTAAACCCTTGGATAAACCATAGATCCTAAGGTTTAAAATTTATGGTTTAAAATTTATTCAAGGGTTTAATGTTTTTAAGATTTAGTATTTAGTGTTTTTAATTTAGGGAGTAGGATTTATACAAGGTTTTAGGATTTAGAGTTTTGCTGACGGCGCCAAAAAAGTTTTAAAAAATGATTTTTTGTAACTTTTACTATTTTATTTTAAAAACATAAAAAAAATTTTGACAATATTTTATTTTATTTTTAAAATATTAAATATATAATAATATAATCATATTAGTTGGTGAAACTAGAAGTTCACCCTAGAGGATGAACTCAAAAATAAATATTTAAATAATATGTGGGAGAGATACATATCAAAACATAGAATCATTCAAACAATAAAAAAAATGTTAGACGTAGATTAGTCAAACTAAAGAACCATAACACCTTAATCATGACAAACTTCTCTGTTTAAGAGCATCTCCACTCCTTCCATATATTAGTCTCCATAATAGCATTTAAATGTAATTTCACTTCTATTCAACTCTATTTCTTCATTTAAAATAGAAATTGATATATTCCCCTCTATAAAAAGGAAAAAAAAAATCAATTATCTATCTTTTATTTTAGGGAGAATTGTCAAAACCAACTCAAATATTCATTTTAACCCTCTAGGTATACCCTATATTCAATCAATTGCAAACCCAACCTAAATGAGTGTTAAAACTACTATTTAACCCTTATGAACAAACAAAAAACGTAGAATATATTTTACGATTCTGTCCTTCGTAGGTCTACACTTTGAGAAAGAAGTCTACAACTAGGTAGACTTACAATAACGTCTACTGTGTAGACTAATGTAGACTTATTATTTAGTCTACATCTTAATTTAATCAAATAATTTAATTTTAAAAATGTAAAAAAAAATATTTTTGGTAAATTTTTTAATAAATCATCAATTTAAAGGATAATATGAGGTATATAAATTAAATTTTCTTATAATTGAACAATTTAAAAGAATGTATATTGATTTGGGAACTATGTGGTAGACAATGTTAATGGTTTAGCAACCAAAGGTTCTAACATGTTATGTCTTTTAGAGTTAGATTCTTAATGTTAGATTCTAGATTTAGAATTATTTTGTTTTAATGATTCAAAATCGCATATTTAATGTTGAGTAGTTTTATTTTGTATATATGATATTTGGTACAATGACTAAGATTTTTTTATAATCAATCAAACGTTTAGGATTTGAGATTTGGGGTTTAGGGTTTGAGATTTCTGGTTTAGGGTATAGTAGACTTACAATTAAGTCTACTTATATGTAGACGTCTATTTCAATCTATGTTAATTTGTGTTTACCAAAATAAATTATTTTAAAATTAGAATTAACTAAGCGGGAAGTGAAAATGAATTTTGGAGCCTATTTTTCCATATTGGCGCCAATATTTAGGGTATAGTAGATTTACAGTAAAGTCTACTTATATGTAGACGTCTATTTCAGTTTACGTTAATTTGTGTTTACCAAAATAAATTATTTTAAAATTCAAATTAACTAAGCGGGAAGTGAAAATGAATTTTGGAGCCTATTTTTCCATATTGGCCCCAATATTTAGGGTATAGTAGACTTACAGTAAAGTTTACTTATATATAGATGTCTATTTCAGTTTACATTAACCAATTTAACCTAACAGAAAAAATTACACAGCGTATAAATACTTTTTTATGGTTTTGTGGTAAAAAAAATCCTAATCACGCCGTTTAGATCTGAGGCGGTTTAGGGGGCAATTTCCGGCGAACCTTCTTCCACTCCGTTTTCACACCCATCCACCTTCCTCTCGGAATCACCATTCACCACCACGACCATCACCACTATCTTTTCCCATCCTTCAGCCATCTCTACCTTGTCTCCTCCTCATCTCCTCCTCGTCACCCAGCCACCTTCCTCTCGGAATCATCTATTCATTTAATTTTCGTCATCGCGTTCTTACCGTGGTGGCAACAGAGATGACGTCTACTTTCCAAAAAGAAACTGTCCTCTCACGCGCTTCAAAGTTCACGTGACACATACACGCTCAACACACAAGCTGGCTCTTTCTCTCCTTCGTCTTCTTCTCCGACGACTTTTTAAAAACCGACAAAGCTTTCTTCTCTTCTACATTACGGCACCACACAACACACCTATATAAACCGGCTTTTCACTTCGATCTCTTAACCAGATTGTGTAAACCGGTTTTTCTTTGATTGAAGATTTTCCTCAAAGGTCGGAGGAGCTTTAAGGGTTTTAGGAATCGAAAACTATGGAAGATGATTACAAAACGCCGCGTTTTACGATCGGTAGGTAACCTTCGATGGCGCCGGGGAAGAATCTCGAGCCGTCGGTTCACTCGGTAGATGAAGTGCTTGAGGACGGAGAGGAGATAGATGGTGGTGTGAGGCTTATGTATTTGTCTAATGAAGGTGACATTGAAGGGATCAAGGAGCTTCTTGATTGAGGGATCGATGCTAATTACAGAGATATTGATGATCGGATAGCTCTACACGTGGCGGCTTGTCAGGGTTTGAAGGATGTTGTTGAGCTTCTTCTTGATAGGGAAGCTGAAGTTGATCCTAAAGATCGTTGGGGAAGCACTGTAAGAAAGAAACAAAAAAATCTTTTTTTTTAGATCTTTGGCTTTGTTGTGTAGTGGAAGAAATCTAATATTTTTTTTTGTTGAAAACAGCCACTTGCAGATGCGATATTTCATAAGAATTTTGATGTAATTAAGATTCTTGAGATGCATGGAGCTAAACATCCGGTAAGAATCTAGCTGGAACTTTATGTTGGTGTTTTGATTGTATCTATTTGCTGTAATAAGCCATTGTTATTGATACATTTGTATGTTTCAGATGGCTCCAATACATGTGAATACTCCTTGTGAAGTTCCTGAATATGAAATTAATCCTAGTGAGCTTGATTTCACTCAAAGCAAAGAGATCACAAAGGTTTAAAAACATTTCCTTGTCTTTAATGGATCTCTCTCTTAACTATGTGTTCAGTTCCTTTTACTGAACCTTATTGTATTCAGGGAACTTACTGTATGGCAATGTGGCGTGGCATTCAAGTTGCCGTGAAAAAGCTTGATGATAAAGTTTTAAGCGATCATGATCAAGTGTAAGTGGAATAGTATCTTGTAGATGGTATCATGGTAATAAGGTCTTAGAGTCTAATCGTTTTGGTTTATGTGCGTGCAGGAGGAAGTTCCATGACGAGCTTGCTTTGCTCCAAAGGCTTAGGCATCCAAACATTGTTCATTTTCTTGGTGCTGTAACTCAAAGCAATCCAATGATGATTGTTACTGAATACTTGCCTAGGGTATGACTTACTCTGCTACATTCTTTTTTTTTCTTTTGTTTCTCGAAACCAAGATCTCATTTGATGATACATTCTTCAGGGGGATTTGCGTGAATTGCTCAAAAGGAAAGGACAACTAAAACCAGCTACTGCTGTTAGATATGCCCTTGACATCGCAAGGTATGTATCTTCCTCATGTTTGTAATGTTCTTAGAGGTTATAAGAGTCTCTTACCTTTTGGATTCTTATAGGGGAATGAGCTACCTTCATGAGATTAAAGGAGACCCTATTATCCACCGAGATCTTGAACCTTTGTGAGTACACACTATCCACATTAGCGTATAGGTGTTTTGTCTCTTATATTTTCTGACAGTGGTAAAATTATATATTTGCAGAAACATATTGAGAGATGATTCAGGGCATTTGAAAGTTGCAGATTTTGGAGTAAGCAAGCTTGTTACTGTTAAAGAAGACAAGCCTTTCACATGTCTAGACACTTCTTGTAAGTTCTTTTTTATCTCACCCATCTGTCTGCTTGGTCAACTCAAGAGTCTTGATTACTGATTAAGTTTTAATGTTTGTGATCCACATTATAAAATAGCTTAATGATGTTATATATCACTTTATGCAGTGGAGTCAAGAAGAGACGATGGAGTAACAAGTCCATGTGAAGTGATTTTGTTTCACCATGAAGACATGGGGATACCAAGGGAGATTGCAAAGCTTGGAGTGAGACGAGGAATCTTGGGAGCAGTGAAGAAGATGGAACTTCAATTTTGTTTGAAACAATTTTGTTTAGAGACCCAAAATGAGGTTGTGGGATAATCATGCTCTTATGAAAGTTTTTTATTGGTTATCCTATTGCTTCTTGTCAAGTATAAAGTCAAGTATATAAGTCTACTTGACAGACCATTCTTGTTACTTATTAGTCTTCTTTCTTGTAGATTTACAAAGAAATCTACTTGACAGAGGAAAATATAACATAAGTTTATCACATTAGACAACATCCAAAGCAACAATATAGTTTATAAGTTCAACACAGACTAAATACCTACAAATCCAATAGAAGACAACTCAAAGCAATGAGACACTAATACATAATAGAACATCCATATCAATAAGACAACTCATAAGTTCGACACATAACACTAACACATCTAGAGTTTTTCACCACTCATTCTCTGTATACAACGAGTAATTGAGCCATCTCCTGCAAAAATAAAAATACGGTTTACATAATTAACAAACAAAATTTCATGTTTGATAAAATTATAAAATAGACTTACAAGTACATCTACAATTATTAGCAAACAATATAGTTAAACCAAAAATTATATAATAGACTTACAAGTACGTCTACAAATTTTAAGCTAACAACATAGACAAACAAAAAGTTTGACAACTTCCTAATTATAACAGATTATCTTCTGAAAATCATTCAAGACCCTTATGATTAACTAACACACAGTTTCATAAAAAAATTTTTGAAAAAACTTAATGAATAATGCACAAATCCACTTTTGATATAATTTTTTAGGTAGACTACATATTCAGTCTACAAATGTGTAGATGTTTTATTCAGTTGACATTAGGTAGACTGCAAATTAGGTCTACGTCTAGGTTAGTTTTTGCAATTGCCAAATTCACGGGCTATATTCTGTATTTGAAAAAAATATGTGATTTTATACGAGTAGACTTCTTTGTTAGTCTACCTTTTTTAAAAAGTTAGTTTTGCAATTGACCATAATTCGTTAAGTGTTTGACTTTTAGAAGTAGACTTACTATGCAGTCTACATTTTTAAATTTGTTTGAAAGAGGTTAGTTTTGCAATTGACCAAAGTTGACTATCTACTAGTAGACAAAACTAAATGTCTACATAACTGTAGACTGCAGTAAAAGTCTACACTATAACCCGACAGGTTAGTTTTGCAATTGACCAACATAAAATAGTAGACTTTATATGTAGTCTACTTTTTTTTCCTAAGATTTATAGACCGCATATAAAGTCTACACGTAAAGTAAGTTTTAGTCAGTTTCTAAACATTTTAGTCGAATACAAAACTGACCTTCAGTAGACTTTCCTAGCAGTCTACAAAGTGTAGACTTCCAAGAAAGTCTACTATGGTAAGTCAAAATTTTGGTCAAATGAAAAACTAACCTCTTTTATGTAGATTTCTTAGTAAGTCTACCATTTTTTTTGTTTTTGGTTTCAAAGGTAAAGACGTTGACGTACTTGTAGGTCTACATTACAAAAAAATTTATTTTGGTCAATTGCAAAGTAACCTGTGCGTTGACAAGTAGACTGCATCGTAAGTCTACACGTAAGTGTAGACATATAATACAGTCTACTTTCGCGATACAGATCAGAGATATGACGAAAAGCATATAAATAATTACCTTGACACCGGTTTAAAGCTTGTTTCCAAGCTTTTCCACCGTCCAGAATCCAAATATGAGCAAAAGAAGCACCTTTTACGATTCACTTGTAAATATAATCGAAACTATGAAGTTTGTGTTTATAAAAATGAGAGTTATGAGGATTGTTTAGATGAAAATAGAGAAGAAATGAGAGGAAATGAAGTATTGTTGGTTTAGAAAGTGAAATAAGTGGTTGACAATTCATATCTTGAGTTTTAAGAGCTCATCAATGGTGGTTCATGGTGGTTGGAGATATTGATGATAATGGCATTGTTGTAAATAAGGAGAAATGTTTAGGGTGTAATAGGTTTTTTGGCATTTTCGAAATTAATAAAATATTATATAAAAATAGCAATTTTGTAAATAGTTGAAAAACATGAGGAGGGTTTGGTCTTTTTAATGGTGAATAGTAATGACAAAAAAAAAGAGGTTGGTTTTGTGTTTGACTTGAATTTTTAGGTTGGTTTTGCAAAACCCTCTTTATTTTATAATTAGAGATTGTTGTTTTAGAGAGATAAATTGGAGTAAATTCTACCTCTATCATAGAATTCCTTTATTTTAGTGAAAAAATAGTAATATACATGGGAGATTATCAACAACATATTGTTTTCATACATACAAATTTACCAAATACTAAACCATGAAAATAGACTTCAAAATGAATCAATCACATGATTTACACACTAAAGTAACTTATTATGGTAAATAATTAACCAACATTCTGCGCATACCGCAGACAAAACTCTAGTAGAAGGAAATTGTAAGAATACAGTTTATTTGAATCTTAAATTGTGCGTCAAACAATCTAAAAAAGAATGATGTTGCATTAAGAAACTTTGAATGAAAAGTAAAAATATAACAAGAATGCTGTTGCGTTTCTCTTTTTTAACTATCTACACATTTTTTAATTACTATTTCATAAAATATTTTATTTGGATTTTACTACCAAAAAATATTTTCTTATAACTAGTTTATCTTAATATGAAAAATACTAATTCTAATCATGAAAAACCTAAAATAACTCTCTTAAATTATTTATAATAACTAGGGGCATAGCCCTCACGCATATGCGGACTGAGTGCTTTGTTGATGCATTATGTTATTTGGGTTTTGTGATTTTATCTTTAATTTTTATTATTTTTGGTTTTCTCATGTATATATTACGTCGAATGAAAGAACGGAAGTTACACAGCTTGATTAGGCTAGTATAAAAATTATCAGTGGATTCATATATTGAGATATTTATATATTTAATTTGTGTAATGACTTAATTGACAATTAACGTTATTAATGTTTTCATTGTTCAAAAATCACCCAATATAATTTAGGTATTTGTTAGTACACAACTCTAATAGTGTAAGGAAAAATATTTTTAATTTTGATTTTAAGTTTAACAATTTATATAGTAAATAAAGTTACTTTCTTTATTAACCTGATTTTTTTTTAAATAATGAATTATTTTAAACTGTATTTTTATAAAATATAAGAGTAAAATTTATAATATTATATATATATATATATAGATATATTAGGTTTGTAACTGGATTTTGTTTAAATTGTTTGAGTGTGGGAAAAAATCTGTTATAGTAGACCAAAATAGTTTAAAAATTAAAAATATCAAAAATAGAAATTGTTAGTGGGTTTTAATTTGATTTTTTTCTCTGAATCTGAGAAAACCATTGTTTTTTTTATTCCTCGACAAGATTCTTGTAACGATGTCCTTTGGTTTCTATCGATATTTAGTGATTTTGTTTGTGAGATTAAGAGACTATAAATTTTCTAAAGTGTGACTGATGAGAGATTTATTTACCACACTTTTTTTATGTTTTCCGTGTTGTCATTGATCTTTGGCTTATAAGTCGGTCTCGAAATTTTCGATAGGGAAGCCTTGAATTTGTTAGAAATAAATGAAAATAATTTTTAAAAAATGATATTGTAGGGAAAAAATCAAAATAAATCCATAATTAACTCGTATACCAATGAAGATCATCTTCGCAAGTATTTTCAGAGTTATAGTGGGGTTTTAGAGGCTGTGATCATGAAGGACCAAACCATTGGTCGTGTCGTGGCTTTGGTTTCCTTGACTTCTCTGATCCTAACGTTGCTGAGAGATTTTTATTGCTCAGACACGTCTTTGATGGCAAACTAGTAAGTATTTCATCAACTTCTACTTTGCTTTAGTATCAATTTGCTTCCTTCAATAATGATTTGTTTGTTTTGTATTAGAGGTTTCTCTCATCGAAACAAAGCTATTTTTTTATTTTCTTCTGTTTTATAATATTAAACATCATTACAAATTTCATAAAAGAGGCCAGAAACAATACAACGAAAAATCCAAACGATGGGCAAAAACAAAATTCGGTCCAACCTGACCCGAATGACAAAAAATTCCTAGAAGAAGACGACTTCCACTTGCTCACCATGAGTAGATTAGCATAGAGTAAAAGGACACGTGGACACCATTCAGAAAAGAAAAGTCACGTGTCACATGAAGCGGCCACCATCTTTACAGGAAGAAAGCAATCGCCAAAATGACTTTCGGACGGCCACTAGAACACACCGGAAACATGATGCCACAGAAGAAGAGACCCTCAGACAACTTTAGCAAATCTATTATTTTGAAAAGATATATTTTTTTAAAATTAAATGTGGGGTCAATAATCTGCACATGTGGACACATGCATTAAAAGCAAATATCTTAACATTTGCATCTATGAATTTGTATTTAAGAAGAGAGTATACTATCCTATTATAATATATATTAGGGTAAACTAGCCGTACGGACGGGAAAATATATAAATTTACTTTAAAATGGTTAATTTATTTTAAACAAAATAACATTAACTTTTATAATATTTTACAACAGTGTTAATTTAATTTTACTATTACTTTTCGAGATTATATCCTTATCTATATTTTTAAAAATATATCTCAAATTTATTTTCACGCAGAATTTATATATTTGTTAGAGATTTATTATTTTGAAATATTTGGTTATATATTATGCATCAACTATTATTTTTGTGATTGCTTATTTTTACTTTAATCATTCATCTAGGTTTAAAATGTTTGATATTAAGATATTCAATTTAATGCAATTAATTAAATTTTGTAATTTAACTCTTGAGATAATCTTAATGAGGATATGTTCTATCTAATTTTTTGGATATTTTTTTGATATTTATTTATTTATTTTAGGCTATCTACTCTTATATTTTCATTGACATGTTTTTTATTGTGTCTCTTTTATCTACTCTTATATATTTTCATATAAGTATCAAAATTAAGTTTGAGTTTCTTTTGCAATTTTTTTAATTCCATTGATGCTTCTCTTTTTATACATTTTAAATCTATTAATTTAGATAATTTGATAAATAAATCGATTTAAAAATTATTTTCTAAAGTTA